GCGCCGGCCCCGGGGAGGACCCCCGACGCGAGCGCCCAGCGCGCGCGGGGAGGACGGGGAGCCGCGGGCGCCGCTCAGGCTGCAGCAGGGCGTCGCAGGCCTGCCCTCGTCACCGCGCCAGCGCCGAACACATCCGTCGACGGCTCCGGGAGCGACCCTGGCGCGGGAGCGGGTCCGCCCGCCACCGGGCGCGGAGGAGAGCCTGCGTGCTCGGCGGAGGAGTCGGGCAGACTGGACGGGGGGGCGGGGCGGGGCGAGCTGAGGGCAGCCAAGAGGTGCGGGGGGGCGGCCGTCGGGGAGGGCGCCAAGGAGGGCGTCGTCGCGTGGAGTGCCGGGCGTTGCAAGGGGGGCAAGACGTCGGAGTCGGCGTCGAAGTCGGCGCTGGCGCGACGAAGAGGTAACCGTTGAAGCACTTGGCTGCGCTGGCGAAGACGTTAACAACGACGGCCCAGGCTGCGCAGACGAGAATACAAGAACGTCATCAGGGTCGTCGTCGGGGGGTCATCAGAGTGGTCGCCTGGAGCGGATTGTGGCCACGAGGGTGGCGAGGATGATAGCGACGGTGATCCAGGCTGCGCTGACGAGGAAGCTGCCATCGAAATTCTCGTCTGTGCTGGCGATGATGCGGGCGCCAGTGACCCAGGTTGTGCTGACGAGGACGCCTTCATCGAATCTTCCGGCTGCGCTGGCATAGGCAGTGGCGCCAGCGGTCCTGGCTGGGAGCGGTCGGCGTCAGAGCCAACGCGGGGGTCCGAGCAGGCCGCGCCTGCCAGGGAGTGGGCCGCCGAAGACTCGATCACCCCCGCACACGGGGCGGCCCCGAGGCAGGGGGAGGGAACGCTCCGACACCCCCAGCTCTCGTAATTAGCGACGCCTGCGATGCCTCCACCTGCGCGGGGCGGTCCCGCCGCAGGCGGAAGAGGTCTGGTCGCCAGCACGTCCACGCGGCCGTGCTCAGTTCTGCCCAGCGCATCTTGGCGAAGCTCCCCGCGCTGCCATGCGCCGCGTGCCCGGCCCCAGCTTCTCCCCCCCTCCAGGAAGAAGCAGAACTCCCAGCTGGGAGTGGTCGGCGTCAGGGACAGCGTGGGGTTCAGTTGCAGACGGGGGGCGATGGGCGCAGGGTCGGTCGTCGGTCGCGGCATCGGACTGGTGTCCGGGCTGTTCAGCGGACGGCACGAGGCTGGAGCCAGACGGTGTAGCCTCGGGAGCTCCTCTCGGCAGCGCTGGCGAAGACGACGGCGACGGAGTCGCCCCGAACTTCTCCAAGCGGGGGCGGTCCTCAACATTGAGACGTGGAGGGCGGTCCTCCACGGGAATCGTCGACATGGTGATGGGGGAGTCGGGGGGGTCAGAAGGGGCCGACACGGCATGCTCAGTAGGGGGGCTAGAAACGCACCATCACCCGCCGCGGGCGGTCCCACAGTGGGCAATGGGGCAGATGGAGGCCTGGGCGTAACGTGCTGGGGTCGGCCCCTCAGCAGGAGTTGGCGTCTTGGGCCATTGGACGTCCACGACCCCGCCGACCTCCTCCTGCACAGTCTCGCCCTGCTCGACGACCGCATCCGCCTCCCCCAGCTCCTCGTCCTCCGCCACCTCCCCGCCGACGCCCTCCAGCTGCTACACGGCGTCGCAGGCCGCAGCAGCGCAGCGCCCGCGGCGCCCATGGCGCCCGCGGCGCCCCCAGCGGCGCCCCCAGCGGCGCCCGCGCCGACGCCTGCGGGCACGCAGCCCGCCGCCGACATCGCCGACAAGGCCTCGCCAGCGGCGACAGCAGCGGCGGCCGCGGCCGCAGCGCCAGCGGGCGCTGCGGCAGCGCAAGCCGCCGCGGCGGCCGCGGCAGCAGCCACCAGCTCAGCCCCGGCGCGCCGCTCGGAGGCCTGCAATTCCGGGGTGGTGGCATACTGGACGCCACCAACTCCTCGGCGCGGCGGCGCACCGCGTCCTGCAGCTCTGCGGCGGCAGTGGCCACCTCCAGCACCGCCTCGGCGTGCAGCGCCTCGGCGTGCAGGTCCGCCCTGGCGCGCCGCTGCGTGGCGTCCGCGGCGGCGTCTGCCCACGACCCGAGGCTTGGCGGGGCCGTGAACCAAGCACCGCAGGACGCTGCGGCCGACAGAGCGGCCGCAGCACCCGCCCAGGCCGCCGCGGCCACGGAGGCGGCGGCCGCAGTGCCACTGGGGCCTGCGGCGGAGACGGCGGCAGTGACAGAGGCCGCCGCAGCAGCAGCGCGGGCCGCGGCGCGGGGCGCGCCGGCGGCAGCAGCACGGGCGCCAGCGGCACCAGGCGCCACGGCGCCACGGCGCCGCGGCGCGGGGCTTGCCCGCAGCGCCCGCGGCGCCCACGGCGCCCGCGGCGCGCTCGGCGCTCGCGGCGCGTTCGGCGCCCGCGGCGCCCGCGGCGCCGACGGCACCAAGAGCGCCGGCGGCACCAGCGGCTCCAGCAGCGCCCGCAGGCCGCACAGCGCACGCGGCCCAAGCGGCAGCGCGCTGCCGCCGCCGCCGGGTCGAAGAGACCCCATGGCACCACGGAGAAGGGCGCCGAGAGGAGGAGGCCCCTCACAGCGCCCTTCAGGCCGGCCGAAGTCTAGGGCAGACTCTAGCCCCCAGGGGACCGCGCCGGCCAACCTCGAGCCAGAGCACCTTGAGCCAGAAGGGCTTGAGCCAAAGGCTACGGGCACACACACACACACAAACACACACACACACACAAACACACACACACACACACACACACACACACACACACACGCACACACACACACACAAACACAAGCACAAACACAAACACAACACACACACACACACACACGTTCTTTGGCGACGCGGCCTCGCGCGCAGCGACAAGGCGTAGCAAGTCAAGAAGCAGCGATAAAGCGCACGCGGCCAGGCCCCTAGAAGAAGGGGCAAGGATCCGCCCGGGAGGATCAATCATGCCATGCGCGTACCTGGTCACGGGCAACGTGGGCGGGCAAGAGAGATGAAGACGAAGAGATACGCCGACAGGACGGTGCGACAGCACGCGGTGGCAAGGCGAGGAAAAGCGGAGCCAGGAGGCACGGCGGGGACGAGACGCAAGGCAAGCCAGGAACGCAGCGCGAACGTGGCAAAGACAGGGGCAAGGGAAGTGGCGGCGAACGCAGTCGACCCACACACACACACACACACACACTCAGACACACACACACACACACACACAAACACTGCCAGGCGCAGGCGGTGTGGGGGCGTAGAAGCCGCTCGCCGACGAGCTGACGCTGGGCAAGCGGCAAGCGAAGCAGCAACAAGCGATACCAAGGCAGGCAAAAAACAGGCCGGCTTAACAGGAAATTTCGGACGACAGCGAGCCACCGAGACTATGGCAAACACACACACACATACTCATACCGCTGCTGGCGTAGAAAACGCCCATCCACACGCGTTGTTTCAACAACAGTGCCGCCCCGGGACCCCCCATTTCAATGTTGTTTTCGCAGCCGTTGTCGGGGTGCAAGCATCGGCACCTAAAACTCCACCGCAAAGGCAACCTCGCTTTCAATATTGAAATTGGGGGGCACGGGGGGTCTGAACGCAGCAGCGTTGTCCATTTGCCTGGTGGGTTTTTTTACACTAACGGCGGTACCGCCACCACCCCACCCCCAGGGTAGAAGAAGGGGGGGAGAACAGGACTAGGAGGGGCAGGATGTGGGGAGAACGGGGGATTAAACACTGGCGCACTTTGGGAGGAAGAGAGAGAGAGAGGGAGAGACAAACAAAAAAAAACAAAAAAAACTCAGTGCGACCCTACCTAGGAGTTGGAGCATTTAGGAAAGCAACATCTACATCTACACCGACAGCCACATGTACATCTACACCTGCATCTACATCTACAGAAATATTAACAACGAGACTCACATCTACATCTACATCTACACCTACATCTACACCAACATCTAAATATACATCTACATCTACACCTACATCCACATCTACATCTACACCTACATCTACATCTACATATACATCTACATCTACATCTACATCTACAGCTACACTTTCGCATTGGGTTTGCCTTTGCTTTGCATTGCCTTTGCTTTTGAGATTGCCTTTGCGTTTGCCTTTGCCGTTGCTTTTGTTTTTGTTGTTGATGCTGATTTTGCTTTGCTTTTGTTATGCTATGCTAGGGTACGCTCGGCTGCGCTGTGTTATGCTAGGCTATGCTGTGCTATGATATGCTATGCTGCGCTATGCTGCGCTATGCTATGCTATGCTACGTTATGCTGTGTTATGACATGCTAGACTATGCGATGCGATGCTATGCTATGCTGCGCTATGCTATGCTGTGTTATGCTATGATATGATATGATATGATATGATATGCTATGGTACGCTATGCTATGCTGTGCTGTGTTATGCTATGCAGTGCTGTGCAATACTATGCTATGCTGCGCTGTGCTATGCTAAGCAATGCTATGAAATGATATGACATGCTATGCTGCGCTATGCTATGATATGATATGCTATGCTGAGCTATGATATGCTATGTTATGCTTTACTATGCTATGCTATGCTATGCTGTGCGAATGCTGCGCTGCGCTATGCTGCGCTGCGCTAAGCTAAGCTAAGGTAAGCTAAGTTATACTAAGCTAAGCTAAGCTAAGCTAGGCTAGGTTAAGCTAAACCAAGCTAAGCCAAACTAAGATATGATGAGATAAGCTAAGCTAAGCTAAGCTAAGCTAAGCTAGGCTAGGCTAAACTAAACTAAGCTAAGCTAATCTAAGCTAAGATGAGATAAGCTAAGCTAAGATAAGCTAAGCTAAGATGTGATCAGCTAAGCCAATGTTAGCTAAGCTCAGCTTAGCTAAGCTTAGCTAAGCTAAGCTGGGTGAACCCATGGGGGCGAAACTCGGGGAACCGCGGGGCGGATACTGGGGGAACCGCCCAGGGCTGTGTGCACTGCCCGGCCCCTTTAAGAAAGAGAGTAAGAACCCTCTAGGCAGAGTCTAGGTAGGGAAAAAGAGAGAAGGAGAGAGAGAGAGAGAGCAAGGGCGGAGGAGAGGGAGGGGAGGCACGAGGACTACAGTCATCATGCAACCACGAAGACCGCTGAACGGGAAACGAAGGGACACTCTGGGCCACGGCGACCCTCGGCCAGGAAGAGGTCCCCCGACCAAAACATCGGGAACGGCCCGGAAGCCAGGGCCCCCTCCTGAACCCAAAGCGGCCCTTCTTCTGGCGTTTTGACTCTAGGAGCTTCTCAACACGAGACGACACCCACAGGGGCAAAAAAGGGGAGTGGGAAACTCCGACTAGCCCTGAGGGTCAAAAACCAACCAAGGTCCGATGCCGACTGTGGCACCGTCGAGTTCGGGGTGGAGACCGCGGGCTATGCGAGAGTGCAGTCTGCCCTGGGCTGCCCTTCGGGGGAGAGCGCGGCATTCTCAGCGGAGACACATCGCCTCCGCCCGCCGCCAGTGTGCTGCCTGCAGCGGCGGCAGACAAAGACCAAAGAGTGGTCGCTGGCGTCCAGGAAACCCATGGTGTGGCCGAGCTCGAAAAAGCTTCGGGCCGTCGAACCCGCGGACCCCGACCCCAGGACCCCCGCGGCAGGCCCCAGGAGGTTTCAAGACGGCCCTGGCCCCACGGAAACAGCCCTCACGTTGCCAGAACCTGCCCCGCCAACTCCAAGCATGACCATCAGGCCTCGGCTTGGATGACACGGGCAACATCAGATACACTGCAGACGATAGATCCAGACGCAAATAAAGAGGAAGCCACTTGCCCGCCAGCTCGCACACCGGCTTCGACATTTGCAGCTGGCGGGAAAATGTCTCGGCTTGCTCAGCCGTTGGCGCTAGTTGGCGGGATGCTGCACTCGTAGCGAACAAATCGGCGGCGTCGCTGCCGAGCTTGTGATATCGTGATTCGCCAAACACGTCAAAATCCTCTACATCGTATCCGCTTTTTCCCGTGACCGAATCCAGCCCGTGGTCTGAATGGTTAGAAAGCTACCGATGTACGGCCGTTTGTATGAAAACTGTAACCTACCAGACATACTAAACTGCCTGACAACATTCAAGCAATCTGACAAACCTCTGAAACCCGGAACCGCAAATTGCCCCGCAGTTCAAATGGCCAGGAATTCAGCCGCCTGCAGGTCTGGCGATTTGGCGCCCAAGCTGGGGCAGCTGCACGGCATGCTACATTCTGGTCCGAATCGTAGCATGGAAACCCCATCCCCCCTGGACAACGTTGGAACCACATGGCGGAAGCAACAGCCATCGAAATGGAAATCACCTTGCGCCTCGACGTTCGCGTAGTCCTCAGGACACGGCCAGACCACGTAGAACTCACCTTCAGACAGTGGCCTCGGGTAGAGATCACCTGAATGCTCAAAAACGCCACGGGTAAACGGCAAATTCTGAGGCTTGCCCTTGAAGCTGAGTTTGCTGATGTCAGGGCGGTACCTTTCAGCTTCGCAAGGATCTCTTCGCGCTCCTCTTCGCACGAAGGGCAAAGAAACACACACACACACACACATACAAAAAAACTAACAAAATCCTGAGGACCACCGCGTCGCGGGGCCTCCTTGCCTAAATCACAGAGGGTGCCGACCTGCTGGTGGCCCCGCGGCAATCTCCGTGGCCCACCAGTCCCCACAACACACGGCCTTGGTGCACCCTCTTTCCTGCAGAGGGGCGAATCGCTTCGAACTCAACTGAGAGCCCGCACCTGGTCGAAGCAAGGCCGCTGAGCGTCAGGAAGCAGGCTGGCAGCGTCGGCATTGTCCAGCGTGGGCAAAACAGCGGCGTACAAAGACCGGTTGGCAGAAGCCGGGCTGCACAGGGTCATCTGGATGACGGCTCCGAAGTCGTCCACTTGCTCAGTGGCGGATCTCACACACCACCCTGTCCTCTGAAGAGATATCTTCATCTAAGAATCCGAACCCCAAACACGACGCCAAGATGCAGAACGGCTAAGTATCCTCGAAAACCTCCTCACATCCTTCACGAAGCTCGTAAAACGTGAGACTGAAGGAGTAAGATCGGGTTTGAGAAGCCCAGACCTATTGCGCGTAACGTACTATCGGACTTCTTGTAGAATACCAGCATGGATCTCGTTCGAGGACGAGGGGGGAGCTGAGCCAGCGCTGTCCAGCACTCGGTTGGCAAGGAGCTCCAAAAAAAAGTCTTGCCACGGCCAACTCGCGGTCGGAAACCCTCTGATCTCGCTCGGTAAACCAGGCCAAGACGAGGCCCCGATACGACAAAGATGCGTTCGGTGAAGCGTCCCAGGACCTTCTTTTGATGCATGAGACGTTTCATTTTCCTTCTTGAGGGTAACCACGCGAACCTGGAACTTGTTGGACCTATTATCTGACCGAAAAGCTCTGCCACAAATGTAATCGATGCCTCGGTTCACAATGGATTTGCACGCATCGCCAGCCAGGTCCCCAACCTCTGCACGTATCCTGGCCAACAGCTGGGTCAAAGAGGCGACGAGCACGGCCTTCTCGATGAGCACCTGCCCGTGCAGGTCGGAT